GCTCCTTGAAGAATCCACCTTCAAAGATCAAGCCCACTGCCCCTTGAAGAAACTTCCAACAGTTCATTCAAGATCAAGCCTCGACGGCCCTTGGATCAACGAAACATCCACAAATCAACACCTTACGGAGATCGAATCAGAGGATCAAATTTGAGAGAGATTGTAACCCAAAATCATCAAACACAAATATTATTTTGTGCACGTTGTTCTTGTCTCTTTCATTTCAGGAATTTTCCGTGTTCACAATGAGAACAATTATCACTCGGGCAAGTGACTTAATAGGGAATTAGGAAGGTTTGTTATTGATTAGGATGAATATGAGGAATATCTTAAGTTGTAGGGATGAAATTTAAGAAGTTCCAATCCTACAAATCTTACATCCTAAATTATGTTCCTAGCCATAGGGTGATCGAGTGGATTGTTGAATATTTGCAAATGCCTGTTTATATCATATTCAATAGTAAGTCTTAGACTAAGCATGTAGTGACATGGAATAGACATAAAGGTGCTCATTTATAAGATTGAGTTCACCGAACATTGACCAACCATAGAAGTGTACGAATGGAAGATTACCTATTTGTCAATCATATCATACTTCTGAGTTATAGATGCAACTAGTTCTCAGACCTAAGGCATCACTGATTATCTCATGTTAATGAATATGATCTTTGGTCTCACCTCAAAGCTCTCAAATAATAATAGAGCCTTGAGGTTCGGATCATGTGTTAATATGGAGATAAGTGAAATGCACAATAAGGAATTTGTCACCTTTTAGTTAATGATGAAGCTAGATATGAATTTGATTATCTTTTCTTAAGATTTAAAATGAATAGAGGAAATGATGGGTGAGATTCACTCTTATGTCAGTTAAATTTTTGGATTTTCAAATTGTTATTTGGACGACGTCAGACTTCAGTGATTTGTTTGAAATATGAACCATAGTTCTCAGACCTGAGGCATCACTAGTTATCTCATGTTAATGAATATGATCTTTGATCTCACCTAAAAGCTCTCAAATAATAACAGAACCTTAAAGTGTGAGGTTCGAGATCATGTGTTAATATGGAGATAAGCGAAATACACAATTAGGAGTTTGTCACCTTTTAGTTAATGATGAAGCTAGATATGAATTTGATTATCTTTTCTTAAGATTTAAAATGAATAGAGGAAATGATGGTGAGATTCAATCTTATGTCAGTTAAATTTTTGGATTTTCAAATTGTTCTTTGGACGACGTCAGACTTCAGTGATTTGTTTGAAATCTGATGGTTCATAGGATCACAAACGTAATTCATGGGACTATATATGGATCACAAACGTAACTAATGGGACTATATAGGTTAGTATGTGTGTATTCAACTCAAAATCATGGGAGACTAATAGTAGGTGCGCTATTTTATTCAAATAACATTATTTTTTTTAGGTAAATTATTTTGCATGAATTTTATATATATCAGGCATTTTTTGATATATATGTGTGTGTGTGAAAAAAATTACCTACATTAACATGTAAAATATAATTTTATTGACTCAATTAAGCATGTATAATAACATATATATATTAGACATGTTTTATGTTATAATATATTAGGCAATGAATTTATAACATTAATGTGGATGCAAATTTCTGCCTTCTTCTTCTTAGACAAAATTGCACATACAAAACAATTAACACCTTAGGTCAAGGCCAAGAGCCTCACACGCCCACGATGAATGGGAGATCTTTGGCCGAAGAACCTCTGATGCCAAAGTTAGAATTTAGAGAGACAAATATTTGGAGAGTTTTTTGGAGTTTTGCAAGAGTGTGGAACTTAGTTTTTTAGAAGAAATAGGGTCATATATATAGGGAATGGGGTGTGGCCAGCCTTTAAGTGTGTTTTGGGGTGTTATTTGGTGATTCAATTAGCAATTAATATATTAATTAGGTATAAATATATTAATTGGCTAATTATCATAATAAAAGAAATATTTTGGGAGGTTTTTGGAGGTTATGGAATGAGGGTGGATGAGACAAATTTGAACTTGTTACCTATTTTGGGTACTCCTGATTTGGTTGATAGATGATTCTCCACTGTTCGTGTGTAGGAGACCCGGTATGCCTTGAGGGTAAATTTGTCATCTTCACCCAAAAATCCACGTGTCACTTTGTGATTATTTTTGGCTCCACAATTAATGTTTTTTTTTGTCAAATCATTAATTCTCTTTTACAATCCGCATGGCATTAATTATGTACATCAAACATTCAAATAGGGTTATATGTTAAAATGGTCCATGTATTTTAGTCATTTGGTCAATTTAGTCTCTGTGCTTTCAATTTGGCCAATTTGGTCCTTGTGTTTATCTTCGTTAGCCAATTAAGGACATTTCCATCTAATTTTTGTAATTTTTTTTATAATTTATAATAAACTTATTTATAAACTTATAATTTATTTGATTTAAATATTTAAAATGAAATAAAATTAAAAATTAAAAAAAAATTATTCTCCTCCCAACTCTTTAACCTCCTCCCTAACATTACCCCCTCTCTTTTCTATATGTCACAACCTAAATCATTTTTCAGATTGGAAGTTTTATTTCTTATATGTGTTATTTCTCATTGATTTGCAATTTTATGTAAAGAGAAAGGGTAATTATTTCTCATATGAATTTTTCTTATGAATTTTTTAAAAGAGATTGAATGAAATGTCCTTAATTGGCTAACAAAGAAAAACACAATGACTAAATTAGCCAAGTCGAAAACACAAGGACTAAATTGGCCATATGAGTATGACTATAACACAAGGACCATTTTGATATTTAAGCCAAAAAAAATTCCAATAGGGGTATTTTAGGCATCTGATAAGTTTTAAATGTGTGAAGCCAAACATAATTAATGAATTTGCTGATGTGGAATTTAGTCGAAGGGTTTTATTCAAGTAAAAAACTTAGGGTAAATTACATAGTAGCCCCTTAGGTTTGAGGTCTATTACAATCCCATACAACGTCTTTAAAACATTTCACTTTCATACATCATGTACCATTTTATTTCAAAATAATACATCCGTTAGATTTTCCGTCCATTAATCTGTTAAATGCTGACGTGGCTGCCACATTTGTGCTGATGTGGCTGCCAAATGTGTGCCACGTGGCAAAAATAATAATTTTTTATTTTTTTAAAAAAAAACCTAAATCTTCTAAATTTAAAAAAAATAATAAAATAAAAACCCAAAAGCTGAACAAAACCCCACCCCCGTGAACCCCCCTCAGCCTTCTTCTTCCCCGTTCCCATCTTCCCCTACCCCATACCTGCACCTTTGAAGGAAAAAAAAAAAACCAGAGAACAACCCAGATCCCATACCCCCGCGAAACCCATACCCCATACGACCACCCCCCAACTCAGTTCGTCTTCCCCTTCCTCCTCTCATCTCTTCTCCCTCATCTTCATCTTCTTCCCCCGACTCCCCTACCTGCAACCACCATACCTTGAAGCCTTTCCTCTAGAATTAAATGTTCACCAAATGAGGCTGCGCATCGTCGGATCTGCAAACCAAGAACAAACAAACAAAATTAAAATTCAAAGATTTCAATATTTTGAGGGATTAAAGCAGGGAAAGGGGAATTGGAGTAGAGACTGCTAGTAGGTGTCGAGATTGTCGTCACGGAAAGATGAGACGCCATTGCCGGCCTTGCAGGAGTTGACGCTCCAAGCAGCCTTCTTGCCCATTTCTCTGAGATCGTCGTCGACTACCAGCAGCTGGTTCCCTCCCGTCAACTTCGCATCCTCTTCTCCCTCCGATGACTTCGTCGCCATTGCCTCCTCTTCTATGATTGATTCTTTGAACAAGAATTAGAAGAAAAATAACCCTAATTTGATTGAGTTCCTAAAACCCAAAAAAGCCTAGCTGGATAGCAGAAACCAATCAAATCAAAACCCTAAATCCAAAATCCGTAAAAGTGAAGTGATTGCCTCGGTGAAGAATTTGAATTGTTTCAGGGGTATGAATGAAAAAAAGGAGAAGTTTTAGTGGCGCTGGTTAAATTGGCCGTTTTAATGGGAAGAAAATTGACGGCTCTGCGGGAGCTTGTCGGAGGTGGCTCTGCATGCAGGTCGTGCGGGGAGGGTGTGGGTATGCCGCGGGAGGGGGGGACAAGGTTTCTGGGTGGGGGGAGGTGTTGGGAAGAGCTTGGGGGGACGGTCTGGGAAGGTGGGGAAGGGAGGTGCTGGGGTGCGGGTGCGGGGGTGGGGGCGTGGGAGGTAGGGAAAGGAAGTGAGTTTGCTGGGTTGGAGGTTTCTGCATTTGTTTTGGTTTTTTTTTTTTAATAGAAGATTTAGGTTTTTAAAAAATAATAAAAAATTATTTTTTTTGCCACGTGGCACACATTTGGCAGCCACGTGGCACAAATGTGGCAGTCACGTCAGCGTTTAACAGATCAATGGATGGAAAATGTAACGGTTGTATTATTTTGAAATAAAATAGTACTTGAGGTATGAAAGTGAAATGTTTTAAAGATGTTGTATGAAGTTGTAATAGACCTCAAACATGAGGGGTTACTATGTAATTTACCCAAAAACTTATGTCGGCCTTTATGTAGAGAAAATTAAGTTTTATGAGCTAAAGTCATATTTTCAGAACCTTTATACAAGTTTCTAATTTTTTACATTACACGGAACATGGGCCCTATTGCAAAGAAAAATAAACAAAACAACGAAAGGTTGTATGCTTATCTCAGATTGGCAAAAGCTGATGCTGGTGACCTCTATATGAGAATGGATATTCAGTGGGTCCAGACTACGAATGGATTTCATGCTTCAACCAAAAAAATTGGAAAAAGAAGAAGAAGAATGGATATAGTTCATGCCACCTGGGTTTAAACCGCGTCCTCAACAGTTTACATACTATTTATCGATTAATTACTTGGGTTAACTGCATCAGTCCTCACAGATTTTGGCTTAAAATATTCCTCCAATACTTGTCAATCTTTTGATTCATCATAGATTGCCTGAACTTTCATCTCCAATTTTTTATATTTCAATTTAATTTTAATTATTTTGTTTAGATCCTTCAACAAATAGAAAAGAAGATAATATTGTGAGCATGCACCTGGGCAAGGCAACTGCTTGGAAGCTCACTTCCTTTCATGTTATGCGACCACGTATCTTACAAAAATTACAAGACATTCGCATCTATAAATACCTATCAGCTGGATCACACTTTCACCAACCAAATTTGTTTTATAATCGTTCTACCATTGCTTCAAAGTTTTATTATTCAGCAAACACGCACACCAAATTTAACATTTTTGCTCACATTTCTCTGCATGCATGGGGGATCCCGCCAATTCTAGCAATGCCTATGGCCCTGCCTCTTCGGTCTACAGAGGCGTGCGCAAGAGAAAATGGGGCAAATGGGTGTCGGAAATCCGCGAGCCTGGAACCAAAACCCGAATTTGGTTAGGCAGCTTCGAGACTCCAGAGATGGCGGCCGCAGCGTATGATGTGGCCGCGTTGCATTTCCGGGGTCGCGATGCGAGGCTCAACTTCCCTGAACTTGCCAATAACTTGCCTCGCCCTGCCAGTTCCACCTCTGATGACATACGCATGGCAGCACATGAAGCAGCCTTGATGCTGAGAGGTAGTAGTGGTGGTGGTGGTGGTGCGGTTGAAGGTCATGAGGTTGGGGGCTCCAGCTCAAACGTCGGGCAGGTCAGGGTGAGGCTGTCGCCGAGTCAAATCCAGGCAATTAACGAGTCTCCCTTGGACTCGCCCAAAATGTGGATGCAAATGGCAGAGCCTACGATGTTCTCTAATGACTTTTTTGAGAATCAGTGGGAGGATCTGCAGAATGACTCTCTTTGGGATCCTTAATTAGGTAATTAGCGTTTACGTAATAGTACAATGACAAAATACGAACTATATATACATTAATGTCCTAAAATTATTATTTTTATTATAAAATACATGTGTGCGACGTAGTTAATTTGACTAAAATATATGAGCTATATATTCAAATAAGTCTTTCAAACAGATACAGCTTCATTAAAAAAAAAAAACAGAGATGGGGGCAAGTCTACCAATTAAAAAAGATTGGTAAACTTTGAGCTTAATTTGTTTCGAATTGATTGACAAAATCAGCAGATTAAATAATTTAATTGTGTATGGAAAGAGACATTCTTGGTGATCCAATATTTAAAAATTGGATTGGAGGGACACTGATGATTGATCAAGCATTAGTTCTGGTGTGGTAGTAGGTGAGGTGGAATCGATTGTGTTGTGTGAAGGACCACAAACTCTTTGGCTACTTTTTAAATTAGCTTTAGAAGAGTGTACTCGATCGTGTGATTTCTTTTTCTTGCTCCCATTGTCTTTACATTATTTGTTGTAATGGAAATAATTTGTCATTGAGATTAATGTACGTAACAGTAGTGTGTGGGCAATCACTTATTAATTCTTATTAAGTTATTTGTGTACTATTATTAAACATATGAAGAACTACGCACATGACTATTGCGAAAGAGTTAATCTCGTTTAATCTTTTTTATTTGGAAAAATGGAATATACGAAGAACTATGTGCTAATTTCCATGCCTATTTCTGAGAGATGACAAATATGAAATTGTTGAGAAATGGTAATTAAGTGTGAAATGCATTTTGTTTCCTTTTCCATTGAGTGGTTTATTCAATATATAATGAAAATAAACAACAAAATTGTTTGGACAAACAAAAGTAACACATCTGTCGACACTATTTCTAATAGATGTGAGCTCTACTATATCAATTGTGAGCATCGTCTGTATTAGAGAATGTTTAATAGCATCATCCTGAAATAAAATTCTGTTCAACCTTTCACTATTACTTTTAGAGAAAATCCATTGGTTGACTTATTGGCATGTCAATCTTATGACTGAAAAGACCAAGAAGGACTAATTCAAACCTGATCAGAAGTTGATAACTAACAGAGAATATCAGTGGTTAGTGCTACTTAAAAACTTATCAAGGGTCACACCATTCTTAATCAACGTACATGCATGACAAACTCAGTTGTAAAAATCAAACCTCTTGTGCTTATATCGCTTGGACAGATGCTCTCTCTGTCTCTGTTGCATCGATGAATGTAACTAAGTTACTTGATACTCATTCAGACACCGAACATTCCTCGTACTAAACAGCTTTACCCTCTAATGCCCATGGGTTTAATTCCTACGAAGTTCCTCCTCCAGCAGGGGTGAATGTTAGAGTGTGAGTATGAGTTTGGCATATTGAACCGGTTATAGTATGGAAAAGTCTTGTTGATAAGCTTGGAGTAATCCTATTCTATTTGGGATTACTGGTATTGAGAATCATCTCAGGATTCGGACTTAACCTTGTATTTGGTTTGAAGTCCTTGCTTGTGTTGATATCTTTTGGAACATTGTCTTCTCCTATACTGATTCTAATAGGAGAATTAGTTAGGAAGACATTCGATGTGTATATATATGAACATTAGGCACTGCTCATGCAATCTATCAGCTTATCTCGTACCAAAGACCTATTATTTGGAGAGCAATTGTGTTTTGCTAAAGAGGAGAAGTCTAATAGTTCCAAGGCTGCGATGGCTTCTTCTTCTGCATCGAGTTCTGCAGGTATGCTTCCTCTCCATTCTTGTAGTGTAATATTGTTCTTGTGTTTCGTGATTCAATAGCATATATGTGATCTATGGGCTATGTTGAATATATGTCTTACATGTGGTATCAGAGCCATGGTTGATTATCGCTATTGAGTTCGAAAAATTTGTTCAAGAATTGATGAAGTATTACATGGGTGTTCATCATGAACTGTCGAAACCCAGGAAAAGAACATAAAAAAATAGCTATTTAATTAAAGATGCGAACGACATCGTTTCACTAGAAGAGCCGTTACCCTTTTAAAAACTTTTAAAATGTTTGACCGCTAACAGCCTATGCTCCTCTTTCTTCTTTCTTTGTTTTTCGGTTGTGTTGGTTGGGAAGTTTTCATGCTTCTCATTCTTTGCGAAACAAAACAAATCTTCATCTTTTCCATTGATTCTTATCAAATACTGCAAATCCTTGTGCTTGATTTTGAGAGGTATGTTTTAACAAATTCATATTTTTCAACAAATATTATATATGTTATATTGAAGATTTGAGTTAGATAGCAAGATTTAGATAATGTAATCTATAAAATCCATAATTGCATACGAATACTGCTGAATCAACTTGAAAGTTTTCAATTGTTCATTAATTACGTTGCTGTTGGAAAATGTTATGAATGGAATGTGATCCTCTAAGCCTTAATGAGTACGATATGGCACTAGACACTCCACAACCTACACCTCTCAATGATAGAAGCACAAAGGCTAAAAAGGTGGAATTTGAAAGATGGACAAGAGCAAACAAGGTTGCACTCTCAAACTTGGAGAGTGGAATGACTGTGACTGTGCGTGGAGGCATCAAAAGGTGTGACTTAGCATCTGATTATCTTAAGGCAATCCAAGGAAAATTCAAGGTGTCACAGAAATCTGAGATTGCACAACATATTACACTTCTCACCACCTACAAGTTTGAAGGAGCAATATCAATCAGGGATCACATAATGAGAATGACTGATGCTGCTAAAAAGCTCAATTCCATGGATGTCAAAATTGGTGAAATGTAGTTGGTTTTCATGATCCAGCAAGCCTTGCCTCAGAAGTATAGTCAACTAAAAGTGTCTTATAACACTCAGGACAAATTTTGGACAGTGGATGAGCTTATAGCTCAATGTGTGCAAGAGGAAAGCCGACAGAAACAAGAGAAGGGCAAGGAAGTTGAAATTGTCAATTTCGTGCAATCTGCTAAAGGGAAGAATTTTCATCCTGGTAAATCTTCTAAATCTAAATATGTTGATAAATCTGTGATACCTGCTAAGAATTCTTTCTCCCCTAGATCTAACAACCTTAATGTGAAAACTAAGAACATTGAAAAAATGAGATGTCACCACTGTAAAACCAAAGGTCATTATAGGAAGGATTGTGAGATTTTCAAAGAATGGTTAAGGGCTAAAGGTAGAACTGATGTCTATGTTTGTGAGGAGTCAAATCTCATTGAAATACATGTCAATTCTTAGTGGTTTGATACTGGTTCAGTAGTCCATATAACTAATTCATTGCATAATTTTGAAAAACAAAAGGAAACTAATAGTTTTAATGTTTATGTTGGGGAAGGAACAAAAGTGCATGTTGAAGCTATTGGGGTAGTTAAACTCAAATTAGACATTGGTTTCATAATGCAATTGGATGATTTCTGCATCAAAATTAGTTAAACAAAAGTACGTTTTCATTGGTGATGAAACTTGCATTAAGTTTTTCAAAAGGGGTTCATTAATAGGTAAAGCTTTTTTGAATGACAACTTATGGAAGTTACAATGCACAATAGAGAAAAATCTTCTGCATATTTTGAACATTACTACCAAAAGAATGCATGGTTCTAAAAACTCTTTTATGCTTTGGCATAAAAGATTGGGACACATTTCAAAAGATAGGATTTCTCAGTTGTCAAGGCTAAATTTGATTCTTGCTGTTGATTTCAAAAATACATCCAAGTGTGTTGACTGTTTAAAAGGAAAAATGACAAATGTTAGGAAGTTAGATGCTAAAAGAAGTCAAAACCTACTAGAAATCATACACGCTGATGTTTGTGGACCCTTTCCAGTTAAAACCATTTGTGATAATTCATATTTTGTGAGTTTCATTGATGACTTCTCTAGACATAGCCATGCTTTCCTTATAAGTGAAAAATCTGCAGTTCTTAACTGTTTTAAGGTTTTTAAGTGTGAAGTTGAAAAACAATTAAACTTGGTAATTAAGATTGTTAGATCAGTTAAAGGAAGGGAATACTTTGGCAAGTACACAGAAGTATGTCAACAGAATGGGCCTTTTGCTAGTTTTCTTGAGCAACAAGGCATTGTGGCCCAATACACAACACCAGCTACACCACAACAGAATGGGGTAGCAGAAAGAAGGAACATGACCTTGATAAGGATGGTAAGAAGCACGATTTCGAGATCAAAATTACCTAGTTTCCTTTGGGGTAAAAGTAACATCCCACATCGGCTAGGGGTGGATCCTCTAAGCCTTATATGTATATTCTCATCTCTACCTAGCATGAGGCCTTTTGAGAGCTCACTGACTTCGGGTTCTATCGGAACTCCGAAGTTAAGCGAGTTCGCGCGAGAGCAATCCCAAGATGGGTGACCCACTGGGAAGTTCTCATGTGAGTTCCCATAAACAAAACCGTGATGGCGTGGTCGGGGCCCAAAGGGGACAATATTGTGCTACAATGGAGTCGAGCCCGGGATGTGGTGGGTGCTCGGGCCAGGATGTGACAATTTAGTATCATAGTCAATCCTTGGCCGGATGTGTGCCAATGAGGATGTCGGGCCCCTAAGGGGGTGGATTGTAACATCCTACATCGGCCAGGGGTGGATCCTCTAAGCCTTATATGTATATTTCCATTTCTACCTAGCACAAGGCCTTTTAGAAGCTCACTGGCTTCAGGTTCCATCAGAACTCCGAAGTTAAGCGAGTTCATGCGAGAGCAATCCCATGATAGGTGATGCACTAGGAAGGCTCAAAGCGGACAATATCGTGCTACGACGAAGTTGAGCTCGAGATGTGGTGGGGGCCCGGGCCAGGATGTGACAATTTGGTATCAAAGCCAATCCTTGGCCGGATGTGTGCCAACGAGGACGTCGGGCCCCTAAGGGGGATGGATTGTAACATCCCACATCGGTCAGGGATGGATCTTCTAAGCCTTATATGTATATTCCCATCTCTACTGAGCACGAGGCCTTTTGGGAGCTCACTAGCTTCAGGTTCCATCGGAACTCCAAAGTTAAGCGAGTTCGCGCGAGAGCAATCCCATGATGGGTGACCCACTAGGAAGGCCCAAAGCGGATAACATCATACTACGGCGGAGTCGAGCCCGGGATGTGGTGAGGGTCCGAGCTAGGATATGACAATTTGGTATCAAAGCCAATCCCTGGCCGAATGTGTGCCAACGAGGACGTCGGGCCTTTAAGGGGGGTGGATTGTAACATCCCACATCGACCAGGGGTGGATCCTCTAAGCCTTATATGTATATTCCCATCTCTACCTAGCACGAGACCTTTTGGGAGCTCACTGGCTTCAGGTTCCATCAGAACTCCGAAGTTAAGCGAGTTCACGCGAGAGCAATCCCATGATGGGTGGCCCACTGGGAAGTTCTTGTGTGAGTTCCCAAAAAAAAAACCGTGATGACGTGGTCGGGGCCCAAAACGGACAATATCATGCTACAGCGGAGTTGAGCCCGGGATATGGTAGGGGCCTGGGCCGGGATGTGACAGTGAATCACTGAAGACTACCAATTACATTCTGAATAGAGTACCTTCCAAAATTGTGCCTAAAACACCCTTTGAATTGTGGGCTGGAAGAAGACCT